CGTAGCATGAAATCACATTGATGCGGGTGTTCTTGTTTCCGTGGTGGACGAACTTCAACTTGCATTGTGCAATTCTCGACGATACCGCCATCCATCGGTTTCCTCCTGCCGAGAAAGCGCTCCGTGCACGGCCTTTCAGGACGATGCAGACTGCTTCTCCGCGTTTGAAATGTTCAGATCGTACGGGACGTCAAGGCGACAACATGATTGAATGACGGTGTATCTCGCTGCAGGCTGGGGCATTCTCAAAGGTCAAGCCGAATTGGTAGCTGTCCAATGGAATCAATGGCATCCGGGACAAAATCACTGATCACGTTTAAGACACCGTCAAAATGCTCCCGCCAACGCGTACCTGTTGCCTCTGGTGTCTCGCACACAACACCCTGCGCATTCTTGATAGCAGCTGTCTTGCGGGGCTGGAAATCATCAAGTGCAGTCTGGATCCTCTTGAAGCACTCCTAGCCTCCCTTAGATGTTAGACTAAAGCGCTCGCAGTCCCGAGCCTGCTTTCTCAGCCAGTCCTGCTTTGCTTGATGAACGATACGGCCAGCTGAACTTCGGGCCTTCTTATGCAGCTTCTGATCGCTTGCCCTGTTGGTCGACATCCAGGCTCGGTAGCAATCATCTCGTTCACGGAGGGCAGCCTCAATCTTCGGTCGATTGTCCAGGAACCAGTCTGGTTGTTTGCTCTGCTCTCTGCCAAGGCATTTCTGAGCGACGTCCGCCACCGTAGTTTTCAACGCAGCCCAGCATCCGTCCACAGATAGCTTATCTGGCCAGTTCTGAATCACGGCAGCATCAAGAATAATAGAATATATTATGCTCGCACTTCATCATTGGAGGGAGCCGTTAGGGCTGCGGAAGCGATGGGTTTGTTAGCTGGTTTACTTTGCCTGCGGAAGCTGGGCACTGCCGCCAAGCGGTATCTCATGGCAAGGAACTTATGGTCCAGGGATCGATTTATCCGGGTTCGCATCGCAGTTTGCGAATCAAAATTCACTGGCTTCGATTCGCTTTTTGTTTTTATTGCCCAATACTGCGATGCACTGGCCATGCATACCGGTGTGTACAAAGACCATCCTGTACTGTTTGTGTGCAGTTTGCATGCGACTGCTGTACACCACTGCTGACTAGGGAGTGGTATTTTACTACTCCAACCAACTGGCCTGTCCTGCTCAGTCCGCGCGCGGGTCGCGGATCGCGATCTGTTTGATTTTGGACACTGCACTAGCCACTACTACAGCACTGGTCATACATGACTGCAGTCTTTCGAAATTTTGTACACGGCGGCGACTTTCCCTGAAGTTCTCCTTTCTTCTTTCACTGTCAAGCTCAATTCAGTTTGTTTCTGTTCGACAAGACACAGTTGAAGTAGATGGTTCTTAGTCTCATGTAGCCAACACGTCAGTGAACCCGATCACTGTCCAGAAGTGGGGAAAAGAACTGGACGCGCCAGGAGTGTCAATTCGTTTCGATGTAGAAAAGCGAAAATTCTGTGCGCTTTGAACGAAGTGTCACGATCGTTTGAGCGCCTTTCCCGAGGTTTCTTTGTCGAAGGAATCAGTGGAACTGCCCTGTTGAAGGACATTGTGTTGTGAAGAACTCTAAGTCCGATGGCCGCTGAACATGTAACAAGCCCAAGCGAAAACGCTGACGTAAAATATGCAGGTCAATCTTTCGTTTGGAAAAGCAAATAGCAACTGCAGCAATTGTCCTCTTCTGTACAAAATCCTGGTATTTTACAGATAAACATGTAAACTTCGATTAAGGAAAACTGCTAATCAACACTGGGAGTTGCTAGTCAATTGTAAAACTGTGTAGCAGTGACTGCTATCCAAAATAATCAAAGTAAATCGAACCCTGTGGTCGGTATCACACTCCGCGGAGCGGAGATCTTGACAATCCAGACATTGACGCTGACACACACACACACACACACACACACACACACACAATTCAACATCCTGTCCTGTCCTGCCAGCCCACTGCCGTAAATGTTACGTGGTGCCATTGCGGGAGGAGGGAGAATAGCAAACTCGCCGGTGCCCCGTCAGGTCCCTGGACTGCCTAAATCCCTGGGAGCAGTTCCTTTGGCTCCTAACGATGGATCAAACATTCCAGGATCCAACGCGGACCAGGCAACGCTTTCTCCTCTCTCTTCGTGCTTGGACAGGTTTCTTGAAATGTGGATCAGGGTCTCTGCCCACTCGTAGGTTTGCCAATCCGCCACGAGTGGGAGATTCAGGCGCCAGAAAAAGCGTTGCCATCGTGCACACACACACAAACACACAGATGCACACATACACACACATACACACACACACACATACACACACATACAATGGTATAGATCTGATTCGGAAAATTTATTTTCATTGCCATCAGGTTCGACTTCATTTTCTCTATGCTGCGCAGATGAGTCCACAAAAGACGAAACAGTTCTGTCCGCAGATTGAGTTTACAAACCTATACATTAGGAGTGAAAGTTGGCACTGAGATACCGAGTTTGAGTAGCTTGTACTCTGATTTTCTCTGATCGGATTTTCGAGTATTCGAGTATTCTTCATGGCTAAACAATTGCACACCAGGGGCCTTTAAAATCACAAAATTGAACCAATACGCAGTCATTTCCCTCGGGTATATTGATTGGAGGGTCATTACGCCCTCTCTACTTAATTGAAATGTTCACCACACCGTCTGCACATCAACGTCTACTGCTGGCTGCCCTGAAACTGTGGATTGCTGTGGTAAATGCATGTACCATGGATGAACGGGTACTCTGATCTATTTTTGAAAAATCCGAGCCAGTACTCGAATATTCGGCATAGTTGTTTCACCCCCAATTTACACATACACACATGTACACACAAAAACCTACCATGTATATGCACACTGCAAGAGAAGCGCGCACATCTGCAAATGCGTTGGATGAGCACCAACAGATGTTCTCTTATAGCAGCAATAAAAGACAAGAACCGAATGATCTACACATACATCTCTCTCTCTGTCTTTCTCTATCTCTCACTCCCTTACTCTTTCCCTTCCTCTTTCTCTATATCTCTCTCTATCTCTCTCACTCTCTCTCTCTCTCTCTCTCTCTCTCTTTCTCTCACTCTACCATTCTTTTTTTATCTTTCAATCCTATGATTGCGGTTGCCCACTTACAGTTTCCCTAATTGCGTCAGGTCACCAAATATCCAAGCAGGTAGGCTTGCAAGGTTATTTTGACTCACAGCTCCAAAGAGAAAGAAAATACAAAAAAGGTATAAGGGAGAGAAGTGCTTAGAGGTTATGATGTAGGCCAAGTTTGGGATCAAAATGTGATTTTGCCAAGTTTTCGACATTAACTTACGGAAGGTTGTTGAAGCGTATGTGGCGATCATACACTCATGAATATGACGTCAGAAATAAAATGGCTGTCAGAGGCTCGTGGTCTGTCAGTAGCACAAACGTTCGTCTGAACTGATGCGTGTGAAACTTACGGACACCCCAGACGATAGATAAGGCCTCGATAGATAAGGCCTCCTTATCTATTGGGGCATACCGCTTCTCGGTCTCGGTAAGCGAACATGACGCGAAGGCGATAGGCCGTTCCATACCGTCCGGCTGAACAAGTGAGAGCACAGTTCCCAGGACGTCTGGTGAGGCGTCAGTACCCAACTGTACCGGTAAGTTGGGGGTCAAAATGCATGAGTAGCTGATCCGAGGCGATAGCTGCCTTCATGGTCTTGAATGCTGCTGCACTGTCAGCTGTCCAATGCCAAGACTGACCCTTTCGGAGCATGTGGCTAACAGGGTGCAGAGTCGTGGTGTCTCAGTCCCGGTAGCAAAGCAAAAAGGTATAATGCAGGTTCTCTGTGTGTGCTTTTCTGCCACAAGGTTGGATTCGGCTAGAGCATTGCCGCTGGGGAGCTCGAAATTAGATTACTTCCCATGTGACTTTTAACAGATAACTTCATTCAAGACCACTTGTTGGCGCTTGAGGACATGTTGAAGCAAACTATGGTGGTGGTCTACCCCAAATTTCAGAATGTAGTCTCGCTGCTGCCTCGCTGCTACTGGCCCATAGAGATGGCCTTCACAATGGCCGGTGATAGGACAGGTTGAGTTGATTAATTCGTTGGAGGGAGTCAGCAAGTCGCCAGTCGAAAGTTGGACGGCTAATCATTACTAGGTAACTTGGATCTGTGTACGCGAACATAGTTGGTTTGGCTGCGCTGTTTTGTTGTTGTTTTTATATTTTTTTAATTTTTTTTTACTATGTTCACATAACCAGCTCGAAAAGAATAAGGAAAGACTAGAGACGTTGTGAGCAGCAATGACCCATCGTTCTTGGACCTCGATTCTAGGTGTTTTTATGATGGCGCAATGCCGTCGCTGTAGGGCTGCATGGCGGAGAGATGTCGAACTATTATAATGCATGTAAAGTGAAGTTCATGTCCCGACCGGTTTCGCTGTCTGTAGCTCATCAGGGGACGCTTTAAAGAAAGCCGTGGACTAAAAATTAATAAAATGTGAGTAGGGATATATAGTGGGTTTTTAGGTTGGTTTTGGTTCGGCAGAGGTGTAGAATATAGTAGCGTGTTTCTCGTTAATATTTGGGCCATATCTAGGGAATGGAGTTGGTTGGTTGGTTGGTTGGATTTATTTAAAGTCGTACAACAAACAGGCATATCTGCCTCCTTATATAAAGACGACTTCTGGCAGCAAAACATTTAAAAAGAAAAAAAGAAAAGATAAGATCAAGAATGTATAGACTGAGCATACAGCTAACTGGAGACTGAGCATACAGCTAACCTCGGCATGTATCAGAAGTGTTTCTAAACTGCCATCGTGTGTAACTGAAGTCCACCTAGGGATAAAAGGAGCCAACCTTGAGCGAAATCGGATTTTTGACCGTGTCGGGTAATAATCGGTCGTTACACACATTGACTCTTAAAACAACTTTCAAGAACGCTTCAGCATTTCGTCACAATCAGGTCAAAGTGCAGGTTACTTACATTTCTTTCAAGTCAGTGTTGCTTCTAAAGATACCTGCTGACAAATTTGTCAGCTTGTTGTCATAGATGTGTCTGTAAGGACATATATCACAATAAAACAGCAAATTGAATGGAATTGGAATTCATTTACAGCATCGTTAGATGCTACAGACATGAAAATATAAACTGTGCCGTGCAAATAAGGTGGAACAAAGTTATATTGCTGTACCTCCGAGATTCATGCTTGCGCCATCATCAGGCTGAAAATTGCTTTCACAAGCAGCAGTGGTTCCTTAGATATACACATGCGGATGCACACACACGCACACACACACACACACACACACACACACACACACACACACACACACACACACACACACACACACACACACACACACACACACACACACACAAGAAAAGAACACAATTGTAACTCTACTACTACTACTACTACTACTACTACTACTGCTACTGCTACTGCTACTGCTACCGCTACCGCTACCGCTACCGCTACCGCTACCGCTACCGCTACCGCTACCGCTACCGCTACCACTAACATCAAATCTCGGGCGTCGGGCGCGGGTTGGCTTAAACCATCTGACTGGGCCCAGACAGAAACGCATGGCAACGAGAGTGTGATCACTGCCGCATTCGGCGGAGCGGATAACCTGGGTGTCGATGCAGCGCCGTCTCTCCCACTGGGGTATTACAATACAGTCAATACAATGGACTCTTTTTGATCTTGGGTGTTGCCATATTCCTAGAAGACTTGACTTCTTACAAAACCAGGTGTTACACAGCCATCCTTCATGCAAAGCCAGAAAACTAAGAAGTTCCTCGCCGTATGAATTTACAGCACCCACTCCATGAGGACCGCGGATCCTACACCAATCATCGTCCCTCTGTCCAGAACGTTGAAGTCCCCGAGCAGGATGCATTTTTCGTCAAGTGGATTTTTACTCATTACGTTCTGCAGCGAGTTGAAAAACTCATCCTTTGACTAGCGCGTACTGCTGAAAGTTGCATAGGCTGTGATGATCGTGAGCCACTCTGGGGAACCGTCTGTCAAGGTAAACTTCAGGCGAATTGCCATCACTCATTCCGAGCAATTACTGATCTGGCATCCCCCGTCGCGCCACGATTTCAAAGCTCATCCGCGCAGTACGAATACGACACCCTCACCTCGCCAACACGACTGGCCCTCAGCTGGAACAGGCCGTCCTGACGTTATTACTTCGGCTCCCTCCACTCGACATATCTTGCATCCAAACCAGTGAGTTTCCGGTACTGCCAGAACGTCCATGTCCAGGCGGGCAAGGTGACGAACAATACGAACAATTTTTCGCTCGTCAGAAACATTTCCTAGACATACACACACACACACGCACACACACACACACCTGGCCTGGTGTACAGCTGCCAAATGCTTGGCCACGCCGCCCCCGAGACAGGTGAGAGTAGAAGAGAGAGTTCGAGAGAAGTAGGCACCGCCACTAGGAAGCCGCTCCGCCACGACGCCGTCCACGATTGCAATTGTGTCGCCGAAAGCCAGGAGCAGATTTAAAACAGCGATCACAGGTAGAGCAGTGCTGGTTGTAGCACGGATGGCTGGTGATTGGTATGCGCTGGGGTGTGGGCGGTGATGCCGGGGCGGGTGTTGTGCACTTGTGCACATCAAGTCCACCGGCACTTCGGAACCACCGAAGGCAGGCATGGCATTGACGTGCGCCCGGCTGTTCCGCTACAGGCAGCTGGCGAGCAGCAGAACATTTGTGTCGTCCGAGTCCAGATTTACTCTTGAATGTCCGTTTACGCACCAGGCAAGCACACACACACACACACACACACACACACACACACACACACACACACACACACACACACACACACACAATTTACCATCGCAAGAGAAGCACGCAAATCTCCAATTTTCAGATATTCTCAAAGTAACGATAGCGGACAAGATCTGAATGACACACATAAACATCTCCCTAGCTCACTCTCTCTCTCTCTCTCCCTGAATGAGGCACGTAAACATCTCCCTCTTTTCTCTCTCTCTGTCTCTCTCCCTCTCTCCCTCTCCTCTCTCTCTCTCTCTCTCTCTCTCTCTCTCTCTCTCTCTCTCTCTCTCTCTCTCTCTCTCTCTCTCTCTCTCTCTCTCTCTCTCTCTCTCTCTCTCTCTCTCTCTCTCTCTCTCTCTCTCTCTCTCTCTCTCTCTCTCTCTCTCTCTCTCTCTCTCTCTCTCTCTCTCTCTGAATGACACACGTAAACATCTCCCTCTCTCGCTCTCCCTTCCTCTCTCTCTCTGTCTCTATCTCTCTCTCTCTCCCTATCACTATCTCTCTCTCTCTCTCCCTCTCTTTCTTTCTCTCTCTCTCTCTCTCTCTCTCTCTCTCTCTCTCTCTCTCTCTCTCTCTCTCTCTCTCTCTCTCTCTCTACAATTTCTAGAATCAGACTCGAAGATTCATTATTGTAAGGAAAATATTTCTCTCTCGTCTCGATGGAGAAAACTATAAGAACAAAGCAGTTAAGCATATGGCCAGCAAATCAAGGTACGAGCAATGCCATGGCAGATCACCAGCAACGTAGCCAGAGTACGGCGAAACGAGATAGTGCGAGAAACAAAAAGGTACAACGACAAAACTGTAAACTCAGGTTACTGCAAGAGACTCGTTGGTGATAATCAAGAATGGAGAAAAGAAGATCAGAAGAGAGGTGGAGAGAGAGAGAGAGAGAGAGAGAGAGAGAGAGAGAGAGAGAGAGAGAGTGAGAGAGAGAGAGGGAGCTATAGAACGAGGCTGTCTGGTGATCGTGTGCAATATCTCACACTCTCTCTAGCCAGTGCAGGCTATCGTAATAAAACGACTCATCCGTGTTCCATTCCCGTGCATGGTACATGCATGGTGCGCCGGCACAATGACAGCTGTCGCAAATCACACTGAGTATTACACGTGTTTGTTGGTGATTCCTGGTTAGCTGCTAGCTTTTCCCTACTCGAAGATGTTGCCGCCGCGTAATCTGGGGTTTGTGTTCGTCCTGGCGAAAACCGTGTTTTGATCCGTTGAGGATGACGAGAGATACAGTGCGACATTTCGAAGAAGACGAAGAACTACATATCTGCGTGGAAAAAAGCCTCTGTACTGTGCAGTATGCATGCTTCAATGCACGAAGCACGGGGTCCGCGGAACAACTTCGTTCAAAAATCATTGTGCCACACGGGTTGTATGATTTGTGTGCGATCATGGCCTTTCTTCTTGACAAATATAACTGAAGTTTTCCAATCTTCAAATCGCAATACCGTCCTTGTCATGACTCCAAATCAGCTGAAACTTTGCAGAAGGAATGAAAATGCCATGCTGAATCGATTGGTACCATTTTCGAAGGGTTTCATTGAAAATAAAATTTAGCCTGCACTGGCTACTCTCTCTATCTCTATCTCTCTCTCTCTCTCTCTCTCTCTCTCTCGCTCAACCGTTTTCTTTTTCTTTTCTATCTCGTCATTGCGCTGACTCATTAGTTAAACTGCAGATCTATAAATGTTTTGTGCACTTACAGTTTCTGTAATCCTCGTACGCCATCAAATATCCCATCAGGCAGGCTTTCAATTTGATTTCCAGGCAAAATTCTAAAGAGAAGTAACATACAAAAAAAAGAGTTGAGGATTATGAAGAGAAGCGGTGGGAGATTATGATGTTGGCCAAGTTCGGAATCGAAAATCTGATTTGTGTTATAAAAAAACAAGTGTCGGATCCATTTGGACTCGCATTAGAGATTTAGTTGTGGTTTCTCGTAAGAAGCAGTTGACTTACAGAGTTTAACTATCGTGAACACTTGTCTCCTGGTCATGTGTCAGTGTCAGAGAAGTACTTACGTATACTACTTGTCGTAAGGTAAAGACAAAGTAGTAAAGTTGTGGAGAAGACGATAAATAGATTATAAACCTCACAATTGGTCTATACAGGGTGTATGTAGACGGTGTAGACAACCGAGGTATAATATTACCTGAAGCCGAGTGAATATGGGCGAATATTCACTAGTATACAAACCGAGGCGAAGCCGAGGTTTGTATAACTAGTGAATATTCGCCCATATTCACGAGGCTGAAGGTAATATTAGACTTATACCTCTCCATATTCACCCTCTCGTCCCTAAAACCCAACAAACGAGTCCTGTTGGTCATACATGTACATGTACGCAGAACTAACGTAAGTCGTTGTTGCTTCACTGAGCCTTCAGACCGACTGGCGTGTTCTTGCCTGAATCGGAGGGTGGCGTGTTCAGAATCTTGTTCAATCGATTGTGTACACATGGTACACGTACTCGTGCATGTGGCATGGGAGGTGACTACCTTGGAGAACACGCTCGTGCCAATCACCATGGAGAACACGCTCGTGCAGCTTTGTGGCGGGAGCCAATCATTAGAGAGGTTTCGTTTCACGCGAAGATTTGACCAATCAGAGAGAGGTTTCGTTTCACGCGAAGATTTGACCAATCAGAGAGAGGTTTCGTTTTACGCGAAGATTTGACCAATCCGCGATCATCGCGCCAATTCGGGAGTCGGTTTATAACAGCGAGCCAAGCGGTTCTACCCTCACTTCTTTTCTTTTTAGGCAGCGCTACGGAGCTGTTGTGTGCCCTAGGAAAATTCTACCTAACGTCCTTGAACAGGGCTGTTCTGAGTACAAACGAAATTCCTGGCTTGCCGCTTGATCCGCAATCATCGGGCCATTGACATGTTGAGCGTCCAGAACCTTGTTTGCTCGCTGGAAACGCTCCGTCTGTGAAGACGCTCACTGTCAGCACCTGGTCACATGCGGATCCAGCGGCAATGGCAAGCAAGGAATTTCGTTTGTACTCAGAAAAATTCCTGTCTACGGAAGTTAGCGTAGACATTTTCAAGGGGACTCGACAGCTCCGGTGCGCTGACTAAAGAGGAATCAAGCGCAGCACCGAGTACTGCTCTCTTTACAGTACAATGTAAGTATCGAAAAGTGGTGAATATAAGCGGTGAATATGAGGTAAGTGATGAATATAAGCGGTGAATATTCAGCATTATCACTCTTCTATATCGACCTCCACTAATTCTCGTTATCCTTGACTGGTCCTATATTACCCATATAGCCGTAATATCGACCGCTTGTATCGACCACTTAGGCATTGTAATCTTTCGACTTTGGAGGGTCTTAGAAATTTTCTCTCCACTTCAAAAAGAAAATTGAAAGAATGAAGACAAAGGAAGAGAACAAGCAGGATTTGAACCCACAACAGTATGAATCTCAAGCAACCCCTTATACCACCCAGCCACTGTGCTGCAGATGCTGAACTCTGTTGTTCTTACAGTCTTGTACCCAAAATAGGCAACATCCTATGTACACTATAGTACAAATGCTCTACTAAAAGGTTAAAATAGCTCCTAACGGTTCAAATTTTGGGGTTATGGCAAAGGAATCGTGATAAATAGGATATTGACCTCGACTTTGGTCTATATGGGAAATATAGACCTCGCCTTGGTCAATATCCTATACTTATACCTCACTCCATATACACTTACAGTCTTAGGCATGCTCTCCCTTAGTGGTGTATATATCTCCATATACACCGCTAAGGGAAATTAGCAATAGTTGTCGCCGAGGAACAAGCCATTAGGAGGCCACACACGGTGAAAGATGGAGAGGTATAAATACCAAAGGGACCTCGTTTACATCGAGATAATTATATACACCAGTTATAAAAACCTCGACTTCGCCTCGGTTTTCATACTGGTGCATATAATATTATCTCTATATACACTCGGTTCCTTGTTATAATATAATATATACATATTCACCACTTATGTAGATGGCCAATTGTATTAGGGTGAATATGGAGTGAGGTATATTCGACCTATAATCTATACATAATATCAAAAACTATTCTTTCTAGACCAAAGAGTGGTATATTTGATAAAATTTAATAACGATAGAAATATTTACGATACTCCTCCAGACGTTTCGTTGTTCTGAACAACATCGTCAGTGGATAAAGAATTCTTCATCCATTCTTCCATGAAAGGAGCCAACTTTGAGCGAAATCGGATTTTTGACCATGTCGGGTAATAATCGGTCGTTACACACATTGACTCTTTTAAAACAACTTTCAAGAACGCTTTAGCTTTTTGTCACAATCAGGTCAAAGTGCAGGTTACTTACATTTCTTTCAAGTCAGTGTTGCTCCTAAAGATATCTGCTGACAAATGTGTAAGCTTGTTGTGAGTGATGTATCTGTAAGGACATATATCACAATAAAACAGCAAATTGAATGGAACTGGAATTCATTTACAGCATCGTTAGATGCTACAGACATGAAAACATAAACTGTGCCGTGCAAATAAGGTGGAACAAAGTTGTATTGCTGTACCTCGGAGATTCATGCTTGCGCCATCATCAGGCTATAAATTGATTAAGAAGGACCAAGTGACTACAAGCTATGCTACAGTGTCCACCAACACCACCAGCTACTTGACAATCAGATCATGCGATAGCATTGCATGACACTGACCGATGATACTGACGTTTTTGAAACTAACTGGCTGTCAGCTGTCAGCTGTCGCGCTGGAAACGGGGTGTCTCTGTAAGTTTGTATCCCTGGTGATGTTTGTGCCTTGACAGCACTATATAAGTGGTGCTCTTCAGGCACAATCTTCCTCAGCCTACTCAAGCTCAACTGATGAGGGGTGAATTCCCCGAAACACTGTGTATTGAGCAGGGAGTGGTGCTTTCTTGCAGGTTTGCCGAGTCAAAGGTTCGATGGACTTCTCGTGTTCTCTGGATGGCAGTCGTGAGTCAGTCAAGTGTCAAGTCGTCGGCGGAATAGCGCGAGCTCCAGTGTCGGAGCAAACCCATTCCTAAACGAAATCATCGCTGAAGTCGCAACCTCTACTTCGTACTGTTGTGCCCAGCACGGGCATGCGACTAGGTGGTTTGGAGGTGACAGCAAAGTGAATGACCGAGGGTCCTCTACGTCTGTTCTCACCGTCCAGGAGCGATCACTGACTCACGCTGCTATCTGGTGTTTATCGCGCTGGAAACGGAGTGTCTCTGTAAGTTTGTATCCCTGGTGATGTTTGTGCCTGGACAGCACTAGATAAGGGGTGCTCTTCAGGCACAATCTTCCTCAGCCTACTCAAGCTCAACAGATGAGAGGTGAATTCCCCGAAACACTGTGTATTGAGCAGAAAGTGGTGCTTTCTTGCAGGTCTTACGTCGATGACTCGACGCTTGCCCACACCGCCCACCACACACGTCACCATAGGGTCTATCGCATCGCAACAGCCGAGCAGACGCTCAGCCTCGGCACGCACACTCCCGATTCGCATAGCGAGACCGCCGTTTCGTAGGGGCACAGATAGTAGCTGACGAAGCGCACCGTCAGGCCTGAACGTGTGGCCAGTCAGCGCCGGCAGCAGATCGTCATTGATGGCCTGGTCCAGAGGTGAGTACACGGCTGGGTTGGCAGGGACCACACGCAGTAAAAAGGTCCACCGGGATTGCAGAGACGCAACAAAAAGGCAATAAGCCGCCTGCGGTTGCATCACAGCCAAGCCAGCAAGGCGCTTCACCAACCGACACATGCCGCCGCAACCCGATCCAATACAAAGTCATTCTGAAACTGTTGGCTGCCAATGGCTCCACCCAGATACTGCATACCATAAGTCTGGATTCTGACGCCCGTGCCAGCGAAAGCCTCCTGTGCCTCAGCCAGAAGATGCGGTTGGACAAGCAGCACAGTTTTCTTGGCATTGGGGTAGTACCCGTACTGAGGGCCGGCCTCCCCAATGGCAGACCAATTACGACGCAGTGGTTGTATCTTGTCGGCAGCCGCATCATCATCTGCGTACCAGATTTGAGCTGTTGACTCCGATGCTGAACCAAGCTGTGCAGCAAGAGGAACGGTAGCCAATGCGTAAAACGCCATTGCCAGAGGGTCCCCCTGGCAAGTTCCCTCGCGCGAATACAATACCTCTCCGCCATCGAGGTAAAGTGGTATATCGGCCTGGTATGTATTTACAAACACTCGACCAGCTGCAGGGCAAACCTTTGGTATGTTGTTGATTGCGGCTGCACGGTTCAACGCATTAAACGCATTTGAAGCGTCAGCGAGGAGAATGGCAGTGTCCTCATCTCGCTCGTACAAGCCAGTGAGGGCTTGGACAGCAACCTCACAGGCGGAGGGGACGCCAACACACAGCTGCCGTGGGACAGTGACGGCCGCAACGTCACGCTCGATCACGGCCATGATCACCTTCCCGACCACTCTCCGGAAAACCTCACCGATCGCTATCGGTCTTACGCCAGGTTGTCAAGCGGTATTAGTCGACCGGCGAGGAAAGCTCGGAGATGAAATGGGTCAATCTCCTCCACGCACAAACACCTGGCCATGTGAGCAAGGTATGTGCAGAGTGCCTTCGACGCCGCACCGTACATGGATGCCATCCGCCGCCAAGCCTCCGAATCCAGTGCCGAAGGGCTAGCAGCGCACTTCATCGCCATGATGGTAGCTCGTACCTTTGTTGATGTTATGGCCTCATAAAGCACGTTATCCGGTGGAGGCGGACCGTCAGGCAGCAGAATGCTTGGCTCAGGGGGAACAGGATCCAGATCCTTTGCCCTCAACGTCTCAAGCACAGTTTGTCCATCCACAATAGATGAAAGAGATAAGACACCACCACCACCACCCTCCTCTACGTAGTGGGCAGCCGTGCCAAGTCGATCACCATAGACCAGCTTAGCGAACTGGACGTCATCTAATCCACCACCCGCAGAGCCACCAGAATGACGCATCGGCAAATGCGCCTGGATGCATAGAGACTCCCGCAGCAGGGCTGATAAATTGCCAGCTGACCACAAAGAAAGCCGCTTTCGTAGAAACTTCCTGTGGTCAGCGGCGGCTGAGGTGTTGAACGGCCTCTGCAGCAGAAGGTGGCACGCAACCACTACGGCAGACCACGCAAACGCCCGAGCCCCTGATCCATCTGTGAAAAGGCCGATCAAGCTGGAAAGTTCCTTGACAAAGTCCTCACCTTCAGCGCCGAAGGGGACGATATATAAATTCCTTTTCCAAGACACAGCCTCACTGTAGGCCGACTACTGCTGCTGCTGCTGCTGCTGCTGCTGCTGCTGCGCTGCTGCTGCTGCTGCTGCTGCTGCTGCTGCTGCTACCATCACTACTGCTACTGCTACTGCCGCTGCCGCTGCCGCTGCCGCTGCCGCTGCCGCTGCCGCTGCCGCTGCCGCTGCCGCTGCCGCTGCCGCTGCCGCTGCCACTGCCACTGCCACTGCACTCCACCGCAAAACCGCTATGACCAGCACCCATGAGCCTTCGGCGGTACGAGTGCCGTGACCCCCGCAGACAAGCAATTTGCCAGCGAATCAAGCATACACTGATCCGGGCACGAAGCTGGCGCATGATCAGTGAGTATTGAAGATCACGGTTCCTCCCACTGATTTGAGCTGCTAACGACTTCAGGAATATTGACGCCTCCGGCGCACACTGCCCATTGGCGGCGAAAACCAACGGCGTGAACGAACCGCGGTCGACGTTGTTGATCCGGCTTGAGTACTGGCGCTCCTACTGCCTCTCGTTGTCAGACAACTGGCTTGCTACCCCCGAACGCGACAGCAAAGACGGCCTTGGGTGGGTAACCAGAACATCAAAGAAGGCGTTTTGCTGTCGCGTCCAGAAACCGCGAGCCCGTATGTCTGCACGAGCGGCATCAGCTCTAATACCCGAGACCGTCTCACCATCGAGAGGCAGCAGAACAGGCTCCAACTCGACATCATAGTAGCACGCACGTACGCACGCACGCAACCCCCCCCCCCCCCACACGCACACACACCTTTGAACTTGAACTTTGACGCCCTATCTCCAGTGGAGATTATAGGCTACTGAGTTGGGCAATGCTTGAGGTGACGCTTCAAATCGCAACTTCTCCTAAACGGTCCTTCGGTGCTGGGAGCGGATTGGTTTGGCCCTGTGTCGTGGCCCAGTTTTGTTGTGCTACAATGTAAGCTGTTGGTTGGTTTGGGTTTTTCTGTTTTGCTGTGGTTCCTTTTGCTGTTGTGCATGTGGAACGTGGTTTATTATTTTGTGGAATGTCATCAAGGGGGCAGGTGTTATGAAAATATTGATGTGTTGTTTTCCTGTGTGATGGCACTCCCCAAACTGTCTCGTCTAGTCGCGTGCATGTGTGATATGAGCATGCGCGATTTGTAGTCGACAGTCCTTTTGTCAGTCTTCTTGTTCGTCTCTGTCAGAGCAGTTTGCTTTTCCGTCTTGTAAATATAAATAATGTAAACCAAACAAGTCTTGTCCTTTGTGTCCTGCGTCCCGGGGAACGGAATGGCTGAGATTCCGTTACAATCCCTTGAACTCTGCGGCAGTGCCCCAATCCCGGATGGGCGTAAACTGCGAGAGTGCGGTCATGTGGACAGCCGTCTTACGACGGAGGGCGCGGTACATGTGCTCCAGGTGACTCATTGAGGCTGAGTACGCGGGCGCTGGGTAGCCAAATGCCTCAATGCTCTTCAACGGCGGGCCCGTGAGGCACTGGCGGATTTGGAGGAGCTTCTGTAGGAGTTGCATTTTGATATAAAGTATATTTTTCGCAGTAAAAGAGTATTTATTTGTAGAGCTTGTGTTGATACAGATTCCTAGGTTCAAACCCCAAGATGGGCAGTTAGTTACATTTTTCTCTCCTTGCGTATTTTGTATCTGCATGTTATTACCCTTTCTGTGAGTTGCTCGTGAGTAATGTATGAGTCATGTATGGCTAAACACGTATTTCCCCACTTTACCCGTATGACTGTCTGTTGTGAACTATGATTGGCTGCTAGTATTATTGTTCTAGAATATTCCAGAGCTGTGAACTGTGATTGGTTAATTATGCTAATGTTTCTAGAATTTCATCGGCGACCGGTTTTGTAGATTGCTGATTGGTTAAAGGGGAAGTTAAGGCTAAAATTAAAATTTCACCAGTTGTAGTCTTCGGGCTGCTGAGTCGAATGGCCGTGGTCCGAGGAAGCTGAGACGCTCCCTTCCTACTTGAATCCCAATCGAACTCGCGCACTTCCACCGAAACTGGGTGACTGCGCCCTACTAGATGGGGATTTGTATGCAAAATGTCACTAAAAGCGCCATTTCGTTCTTATAAAAGCACGGATGACCGCGATTGGCCCATATGTTGTAGTCTTTTGGACGCTGAGTCGATTGGTTTTGGTCCGAAAAGGCTGCGATGCAGCGTTCCTCCTTTATTCCCAATCGAACATGGTTGAACAAGCGGTCATGTGCTCCTGCGTACGCCAGTCACCTGGTCACCGTGCCTGCAGGGTACAACTTACTAGCTTGTTTGACCTTTTTTGGGTGCAGTCCTGTCACTCGAGTTGAACCTTGGTGTGAAAGTTGTCGCCTGCTGGCGTGGTGACCAGGTGATTTGGGCACCCAGGAGCACGCGACCGCTTGTTCAACCATATTCGATTGGGAATAAAGGAGGAACGCTGCATCGCAGCCTTTTCGGACCAAAACCAGTCGACTCAGCGTCCAAAAGACTACAACATATGGGCCAATCGCGGTCATCCGTGCTTTTATAAGAACGAAATGGCGCTTTTAGTGACATTTTGCATACAAATCCCCATCTAGTAGGGCGCAGTCACCCAGTTTCGGTGGAAGTGCGCGAGTTCGATTGGGATTCAAGTAGGAAGGGAGCGTCTCAGCTTCCTCGGACCACGACCATTCGACTCAGCACCCCAAAGACTACAACTGGTGAAATTTTAATTTTTGCCTTAACTTCCCCTTTAATGACCTAAAACATGGCTGCTGCTCGCCGTGTGTTTTGTCTTCTTGCATTGTTCTTTTCTTGTGCTCTTTCACTTCTAATCTTTACTTGCCGAGTGTGCAACTAATATTCTGTCCTTACTAGTATTCGTAAAACCACAAAGAGAGTGCTTTATTCTAGTGTGTGAAATTGTCTCCGAGGGCCAGCTACTACACTTCAACTCGGCTGATATCGGCTGCTGATCTACGCACACCATGAATGCCGTACGCCAGGTGTCATACGCCTTCTTGTCGCCACTGAAAGCTGGGATGGTGATCTTCTTCAGGTGGCGATAGACATCAGGTGGTGCCGCGCTGTGTGGACTTTGACCTGAGTAACTGCCAGGTGAGGGAGTCAGTGCAGGTGGCGACAATTGCGGCGTAACGGGTAAACGCGTTGACTGTGATGACAGCGTAGGGTTTTGACTGTATGGTCGGAAGCTGCTCCGAGTCTGGTGTGGCATCGACAATGGGTACCACGTTGCTGTAGCGCTGCGTGCGGCGGCAGCTGTGGCGCTGCGTGCGGCGGCTGCTGCAGCGGCGGCTGTGCGGAACGTGAAACCGCTGTGTACATTGGCTGCTGCGGCGCTGCGTGCGGCGGCTGCTGTAGCGGCTGCTGTGCGGCCTGCGTCGAAGATTGTCATGGCATCGAGTACAACGGCTGCCTTAGAGAACTACTGGAAAACACTGTGTACAGAGGCTTCTATGTGACCTGCGTCGACGACTGCTATGGCGAAGAGTAGCACGGCTGCGGCAGAGAACTACTTGAAAACGCTGTGCATAGCGGCTGCTGCCTGACCTGAGTTGACGACTGCTGTGGCGCCGAGTAGGACGGCTGCGGCACAGAGCTCGAAACTCTGTGTACAGCGGCTGCTGCGAAGCTGGAGAGCTCGAAGACGCCGTGAACGATGGCCATGGCCGCGGCCGAGAGTTCGAAAACTCCGTGTACAGCGGCTGCTGCGAAGCCAGAGAGCTCGAAGACGCCGTGTACGATGGCCATGGCTGTGGTCGAAAACTCCGTGCACGGCGGCTGATGCGAAGCCAGACAGCTCGAAGATGCCGTGTACGATGGCCATGGCTGCGGCCAAGAGTTCGAAAACACCGTGCACGGCGGCTGCTGAGAACACTGCGACCACTGAGTGTCCTTAGTGATTCCCAGCACTTGGAGCCTGGGTATACGATCCCCAGCAGGACCCATGTGTCCAAAGTCATTGTCAAGAGGCATGAGGAGGGGAAAGCGGAACTGTGCGCGCTGCTCAAGGGAGTCCCAGCCGTCGCACTGACCACTGACGCATGGATATCAAAGGCGGTACGATCCTTTGCTACGTACACTGTTCACTTCCTGAGCGATTCTTGGGAGTTGCAGAGTTTCGTGCTGGCAACACACCCAATGGACGGCAGTCACACGGCAACCAACGTGGCCGAGCACATCCAGTGCATTGTAGTAGAATTCGGCATTGTGGAAAAGGTGATTGCCATAGTGCATGACGAGGCCTCAAACATGGTGGCAGCTGGCCGGAGACTGGATTGGTCCAGCGAGATATGTGCTGCCCACCGACTGCAGATGAGCTTTCGGCACGCATTCGATGATGCTGCGCCCATCAAGAAGTTGCTTGCTGAGTCCCGACGATTGGTGAGGCATTTCAGCCACAGCTGTATTAGCACACAGCACCTGCTAGAGAAGCAGAAGACGCACATGCCGGAGTCTGTAGCAAAGAAGCTAATACAGGATGTCCCAACTCGTTGGAACAGCTCGTATTATATGATCCAGCGGTTGGTTGAGTTGAAGGTGCCAGTTTCTTCTGTGCTTACCGACCCGATGCTCACACCAAAGTCCGATCACCGTGCGCTCCTTTTGAAGGAGAAGCGCTGGGAATTGGCGGAGGACCTGGTGTCGGTCCTTCGACCATATGAGAAGGCAACGGCAGTCCTCAGTGGCCAACAGTACCTGACAATGTCTTCTGTGCTGCCAATAACGACATCACTTGTTCGTTGCAGCGAGGCGCATGCTCAAGCAGAGCAGTCGTCAACATGCGTGAAAGCATTCTGTGCGCAGCTGGCTCAGGAGGTTATGAACAAGTTCAACTTGTCTCCAGTGAATGTGGAGGGCACGGCGGCCATTGCAGCTGCACTCAATCCTCGCTCGCGTAGTTTGTCCTTCTTGGATGAGGCTCAGCGTGAGGAACTCCGCCGCGAGATACTCCATCGTTGCATGCTGGTATCGCCTGAGGCGGAGGTTGGTGATGACAACACCAGTGCTGCTGCTGAGCCACCTGCGAAGAGGCAAGCAAACGACCTTGACCTGTTCTTCGGTGAAGCTGATGATGTACAAGTGTCTGCCAGTGTTCAAGCTGAGCAGGATGTTGCCAACTTCTTCGGCGAGAAGGCGGCACCTTCATCCATGGATCCGTTGAGCTGGTGGCGCATGCACGAGTCCCGGTTCAGCGTGCTAAGCCAGGTGGCTAGGCAAGTCTTGTGTGTCCCTGCGACTCCTGTGCCGTCCGAGCGGGTGTTTTCGGCAGCAGGGCACATCGTGTCCAAGCTCCGGTCGGCACTATCACCAGTGAATATCGACGCACTGATCTTCCTCCAACAGAACCAGCGGCTTAGGAGCGCACAAGGGCCAGCTGCGGGGCGAGTTGCCGTCAAGCAGGCTGCTGTAGTTGAGCTTGATGAGGTTTTGGAAGAGGAGGTTGTTGAGGTCTAGGCACCTGCTGTCCTGCCACTCTGCTGCCAGTTCCAGATCTTCAGTAGCTGCAATCGCTACCGATGTCGGTGGAACTGGAACTGTGCCTCTCCAATCTGCAATTTCTTTCTTCCGTTGTTTTTGCAACATCAATTATGTTATCCACAAGTACTGTATTATACGATGAACACACAGTCACGCATTACAGGGTTTATTTACCATCACAACTTTATGAATTCTGCAAAAAAAATCGAGTGGACACACGGCTAAACTGTCTCGGTAACTACATTTATTAGAGAATATTCGTTCGAGTTCGTTCGTTAGTGCTGAAGTTCATTCGTATACGAAATTCCTTGTTTGTTTCACCCCTACTGAGAAGCCAGAGAGCTCGAAGCTGCGTACAACGGCTGCGACAAGAGAGAGGTTCCGCATAACGTAATTACGTTAGTAAAAAACGTAGTCGATCTACGGAAAGTCTTACGTAAACTGCATGCGCATCTGTGTTCCGCCATACGGAGTTTTCAAATCACGTAGCTGCCATTGGCAACTCCAAACGCGGCAGTGTACGACCAGATCGACCTGGGCAGAGTCATAAATTTGTACCCCAATCCACTTACGGACCAGCTACGTTATCAGAGCCCTATCTACGTACTCTACGTAGACAACTTTCCGTAAGTGGAGTGCAAACTCGCGAATTCACGGGTTTTCCCGCCCACTTACGTAAAGTTGCTCAACTTTACGTAGTGCGGAACCTCTCTAAGGTGTTCAAAAACTCCGTGCACGGCGGCTGAGCCGGCGATGTTGAACTCGGATTTGAAAGGCTCTCTGTAGCTGTGACCATCAGCCAATGGCCACGTGGAGGCTTGACCTCGAGGTCATCAGAGAGAGATAGAGATAGAGAGAGAGAGACAGAGAGAGAGAGAGAGAGAGAGAGAGAGAGAGAGAGAGATAGAGAGAGAGTGAGAGAGAGAGATATATAGAGCGAGGCTGTCTGGTGATTGAATGCATTATCTCACACACACACACACACACACTCTCTCTCTCTCTCTCTCTCTCTCTCTCTCTCTCTACCGTTTTCGTTTTCTTTTCTATCTTGTCATTGCAATGACTCATTAGTTAAACTGCAGATCTATGAATGTTTGTGCACTTACAGTTTTTGTAATCCTGGTACGCCATCAAATATCCCATCAGGCAGGCTTTTAATTTGATTTCCAGACAAATTTCTAAAGAGAAGGAAAATACAAAAAAAAGAGTTAAGGATTAGGAAGAGAAGTGGGGGGAGGTTATGATGTTGGCCAAGTTCGGAATCGAAAATCTGATTTGTGTTATAAAAAAACAAGTGTCGGATCCATTTGGACTCGCATCAGAGATTTAGTTTTGCTTCCTCGAAAGAAGCAGTTGACTTACAGAGTTTAACTATCGTGAACACTTGTCTCCTGGTCATGTGTCAGTGTCAGAGAAGCACTTACGTATACTACTTGAACAAACGACGAGGAGACAATAGTCGTAAAATGGCAATAAATAAGATAAATTGTGCACTCATAACAACAGCAAAAATGAACTACTTGTCGTAAGGTAAAGACAAAGTAGTAAAGTTGTGGAGAAGACGATAAATAGATTATAAACCTCACAATTGGTCTATACAGGGTGTATGTAGACGGTGTAGACGACCGACGGCTCTAATCGGCTTATAATCTATACATAGCCCGATCTGTTTCCGCTCTATACTTAGGCATACTGGTTGACGGACATCTGTCTGTTGTGAGCACGTCATGTGAGTTTCTGCCATGGCAAAAAAAACCTCTCAAACCAAGCGGATGCAGCATGCGTAAATGTCAACCAGAGGGTCAGAGCAGTTTTCATGCAAAGCAGATAAGCAGTATTTTTTTCGATAATTCAGTCCACATTAGAGTTTGGCACCCACTTCATATATTCCTTGCGTACCACAGACCCTATACAACAAGTTATTGTAAAATAGCAATAAAGAAAACAAATTATAATGTCATCGCTGTTGTGTCATGTACTGACATAAGGAAGTGGTTTATTTTACAGACAGATAAGTGTAGATATAGTGAAGAGTCAGGGAGGCCATGCCCAGCAGAGCATGGTTTCGTGCGTAGCACGGGGGTAGTGAGAGGTCTTGTACCGTCTATACATGGCGAGAGACAGGGGAAGTACTATGTCGTGAATGGGTGAAAGGATAACATGATACAGGATAGGACAATCGCCACACAACAATGAAGTCATGAAAGTCTTTCCACGGACTAGGCTATAAAAAATGGCCAAGGTTGTCAAGCAAATCTGACTGTCGGTGCAGTAAAGATAAAGGACAAACAGCATCGAGAGCTGGAGTAATGCGGAAACTCCGGCCGGTCCCGTGCCTAACCGAGGGAGTTCGGAATGCGTGTTCTGCATGTACACGTGATGCGCTATAGCAAGTACATAATATAAGTCTGCTGGTGAGTTGATAACTTCACTTACCGTGCCATGCACGGAAACTTATTTTTCTAAACTGCATGAATACCTGATTCGAGGTGATAACTGCCTTCACGGTCTTGAATGCTGCTGCACTGTCAGTTGTCCAATGCCAAGACTGACCCTTTCGGAGCATGGGGCTAACAGGGTGCAGAGTCGTGGTGTCTCAGTCCCGGTAGCAAAGCAAAAAGGTACAATGCAGGTTGTGTGTACTTTTCTGCCACAAGGTTGGATTCGGCTAGAGCATTGCCGCTGGGGAGCTCGAAATTAGATTACTTCCCGTGTGACTTTTAACAGATAACTTCATTCAAGACCACTAAGTCTTCTTGGCGCTTGAGGACATGTTGAAGCAGACTAGGGTGGTGGTCTACCCCAAATTTCAGAACGTAGTCTCGCTGCTGCCTCGCTGCTAATGGCCCATAAAGATGGCCTTCGCAATGGCCGGTAATAGGAGAGGTTGAATTCATCGATTCGTTCGAGGGGTTCAGCAAGTCGCCAGTCGAAAGTTGGACGGCCCAACAATACTAGGTAACTTGGATCTGCGTACGCGAACATAGTTGATTTGGCTGCGCTGCGTTGTTGTTGTAGTTGTTTTTTTTTGTTTTTTACTATGTTCACATAACCAGCTCGAAAAGAATAAGGAAAGACTAGAGACGTTGTGAGCAGCAATGACCCATCGTTATTGAACCTCGTTTCAAGGTGTTTCAGTGCGTGGTTCTCGTTAATTGCTGGGCCATATCTAAGGAACGGAGTTGGTTGGTTAGTTGGTTGGATTTATTTAAAGTCGTACAACAAACAGGCATATCTGCCTCCTTATATGAAGACGACTTCTGGCAGTTATTATTATTATAAGCATGTGCGTGTTGCTGGGGCTCCCATTGGGTCGAGGTTGCCCAGGTTCGCGTGTGCCAAACTGATTATGCCAACGCCTCATGACGAAAACATAAAGAGAGAAACAAATTATGGGGAAACGAAACAAGAACAGTATTCGTACAAGCAAAAAGGAAGCTAAACGATAACAAACTAAAAAAATATAAATAAAAAATAAAACAAAAAACAAACAAAAAATTCAACGAAGTAGAAATGGAACGGCGGACAGACTACATGAAATTGAAAACACAAGACCATGGACAGAATCGAAGGGAGGACGTGAGAGCAGAGGACTAGGGGAAGGGTACACTTAGGTAGAATGAGAAGCGACTGGGAGGTGAACAAAAGAGAAACTGGAAAAAGAACCAGCATACACAGATGACAAATCGCGAACAAAGAAGAAACAGAGAAAACAAAACAGTGAGGACATGGCAAGCTGACCTGCGAGGAATTCAGTGATGGTGGGGGAGCTGGGTGGTGGTGGGGGATTCTGGCAGTAAAACATTTAAAAAAGAAAAAGAGACATTCATAGAAAAGAAAAAAAGAAAAGATAAGAAGATCAAGAATTACAATGTATAAAGACTGAGCATACAGCTAGCCGGAGACTGAGCATACAGCTAGCCGGAGACTGAGCATACAGCTAACCTCGACATGTATCAGAAGTGTTTCTGAACAGCCATCATGTGTAACTGAAGTCCACCTAGGGATAAAAGGAGCCAACTTTGAGCGAAATCGGATTTTTGGCCACGTCGGGTAATAATCGATCGTTACAGACATTGGCTCTTAAAACAACTTTCAAGAACGCTTCAGCATTTCGTCCCAATCAGGTCAAAGTGCAGGTTACTTACATTTCTTTCAAGTCAGTGTTGCTTCTAAAGATGCCTGCTGGCAAATGTGTTAGCATGTTGGCAGCGATGTAT